TCACATCCATTGGGAGGTGATTTTGTCCAATGGCAGCAAACAAGACAGGTTCGTTCTGCGATGTGTTTCCAACAGGAGGGCTTATTTGCTGAAAAGCGAAAAAAAAAAAAACTTATTTGGAATTCACGCATCACCGTCATATACATGGGCGATGCTCACATTTTTGTCTGGAGGACAAGAAATCATTTCGGAATCGCAGAGAGAAATCTGCATCTGCCATAATAATATATAGATTGCTGCAAGTTTCAGGAAGACTGCGAATTTTCCCTGACTGCTTTCCATGTTGCAGTGACTTTCTCACAGAAAATATGATGCGTAAGCAAGCAATAGCAGCGAAACTAAAACTGCTACGGATTTTGAATCAGAGTTGATGTCCGTCAACTATTAAAACACATTCCCAGGTGTAACGCAGTCGCGTATAAAATCGCACCCGCCTGGTGAAAGATCATAATTTGCAATATATTGAGTTACAATGTGAGAATTTAATATTATAAGCGTTGCCACTTCGCAGTTCGCGCAATGATGTGTGTTCCGCGTGGCTTTTCGCAGCATCAACGATTTGGAAAATTAAGAATAGAACCTCGAAAACTAGATGCATCCGACGAAAATGTGGCAAATTTATAAGGATAACTCAAGAAAACAACAATACACGAGTCACAACAATTTCTCATCACCCGAATAAGCGGATATAGTGAAGACTTTTTAATGCGAGAAAAATTCAGAATACAATGCTGGATCGGAATTGATGAAAGAGCACAGCCAATTTAAAATTTGAAACACAGTTAAAGTTGTAGAAGCCTAATTTGGCACCAGTTTTGGTTCGGGTGACCTTGGCGAGCTTAACGAATTCAATTTGGATTAACATTAAAAAAGGACTTATTTGGCTTGGATCAGTCGGATGCACTGCTGAGCCAAATTTTTGCAGGCTGTTCTATGGTGAGATTAATTACAAACTAGTCTGCACAAAATGATTCCGTATGTGCCACGAATTAAATTGATGGATTTGAGTATGTGCTTTATTTTTCTGCTTCAAGATCTGTGTATGGTATGATTTGTATTGATTTGTATTGAAATTGTGAGCCATAAAAATGACTGGTGCTCAATTCCTAGGCAGAACATGGATTAATTCATGCATCAGAATCATCCTTGACTAGATTGAAAACACAAGTATCAAAAAAATAAAATATGATGAATTCACCCAATTAATTTAGGGCAAAGGTGGACAAAATTATCCTTGACTAGATTGAAAGCACAAGTATAAAAAAATGTATGTTCTCAAACCCCATTTTGTAAATGCATAAAATTAATTTAGGATAGAAGAGAATCTAGACGTAAGAAAGGTGAACAATTTTGCCAGAACCTAAATTTAAAACAAATAAAAACATAAGTGAAAGAAACTGTGTCAGTTGTTGCTGTGGGAGTTGTCCCATAACCTTTGTATTTACCGGGGTTAGGTATAAAAAAAAATGACAGCTGGGGTATATTTGATAGGGCACAACAGAACATAAAATACATGTCATGCAGACAATCAGTGGCTAAGAATAATGTGCTTCCAATGAGGCAATTTAAACATACAGTCAACCCCTGTCTAATGGACTTGATTTGTGCAAGGGACAAGTCTGTTAGACAAAAAGTCCTTTACGCAAATTCAATTACATAAAAAATNCTTGATTTGTGCAAGGGACAAGTCTGTTAGACAAAAAGTCCTTTACACAAATTCAATTACATAAAAAATTAAAAATTTCAATTTTCAACACTAATTTTAAACCAAAAGAAGTCTGTTTGGCGGATTTTGTCTGTTGGGCGGGAGGAAAAACTGCTTGCAGAGCTTGTCTGTTCGGCAAAAATCCCTTAGACGGGAGGTCTGTTAGGTGGGGGGCCACTGTACTGTCCTAGTTCCTTCCTCAGTTTATGAAAAAATTTTTGAAAGGGATGATCAAAGAATTCAACAAACCAATCATAGATAATAGAAATAAAAAACATAGGGTAAAATATAATTTGTGCACACAAATTTACTGAAATGAATCAGTCACAGCTGATGAAAATAGAGAAAAGAAAGGTGTTGCACTCATGAACCCTTAATTAAATTCCATTCAATGATTTTCTGCAAAGTTCATCCCCGCAACTTGAACAGAAAACTACCTGATCCTGATTTATTTCTCACAAGAACTCGTTGAAATTTTTGGGTGTGCCAGGCATGCGGATCAAAAAATTGAAAAAGAAATGAAAAACCAAGTTATAATGGTTCCTACAGATGATCATCAGAGAGAAATAGCTGTACTGTAGTTCAAAAACTGCAATACATGCATATAGGTAGGGGACTATCTACAACAATTTTCTCCACAACAATTTTTTCCGTTACCTATACCAAATTTTTCTTTAATTGCTATGGTAATCCCCATGTGATGCATGTTTTCTAAAAACAATTATTGCTGCAATAATGTTTTGGGTTCCTTGAATTTTGTTCAAAGAAGAGTCCAACTGTACTGTATAATTAAAGATGTGAATGTTGTAAGTTCGAAGAGAAGCTAGATTCAATCTCATTTAAAAATGCAACTTGCTTGAATATAAATAAATACAGTAGTACAGTATTAAACTTACAATTAAGACTAACTTGATATGCTAGGTTGTTGGTGAAGTTTTTCTTTTAGAAAAAAAAGCTGAAATTTACTTCTTATTCTCGAGGAAAATTTCTCGTTTTTCACAAATTTTCTTCTTTATAAAAGGCGAGTGCTGGTCTTATACTTGAGGGGACAGAGAAGTGGTATACTCAGGTGAATGCGTCGTCTGGAAAGTGATCGCTAGAAATTCAAATCAAATTTTATTTGATTGAGCTGTTGAACTATATTTTGGACACACACAAAAACGAAGGATTATTTTTCAGTAATAGCATCTCATGACTGGTTTGAACTTTCGATTTCGAAAATGGAAGTTCGAAGGGCGTATGATATTTTTTATTTTTATGATATCATGCGTATCTATACGTATGATTTCAAAATCACTGATGCAGCCAACACCCTTACATCTGAGTCATGCACAAACAGCAGGCAATACGTCAGCATCAGTTAAAGATGTTAAACAACAGGAAGTATTTTGATTGTTTCCCCTAGAACAATGCATCTTCCTTGGGCATAATTTTATAAGCAAAGTATGCTGTAACATACACTTTTGGTGCACTGAATGTATTTACTGAGTTTTCGGGAAAATAAATCAACAGCGCACGGTTTCTGTTTTTTTCACACTGTTGCTGAATTAATTCTTCATTCTGATTGGCTGTAAATTGCTATGCTCAAAATATAATTTTTACGCGAGATAAAATCATAAAATAATGAGCAACTCTTGTGACACGGCAAACTTTTTTATTTCTCGTCTTCAACAATATCGTACTCGGGTACTCCATTAAAGCAATGGATCTTCATCGTCAACACACCAACCCTCAATACCACCGACAAAAGCTCTGTATATTTCGCAAGCAACTGTCTTCAATTTTCCATCCGTTGGACATGAAGACCTGCAACAGGGTTTTTGACTCCACGTGGTATCATCCTGACAAACAGCCACGAAAACATCACTTTGCACTCTGTGATACTTTTTATTAAGGGAAACCGTGACCAGTTCCATGCCTTTGATGCAATTAATTGCTGCAAATGAATTGATGATCCTGTTACCAGTATAAGAAATGATTCCGTTTTCGATCAGCAATCGTGGACATCGAGTCTCCTCATTCCCGGGTATAAAGTTCCCGACGACTGATCCCATCCATTCCGTCAATTTTGCGTAAGCGTCTTTCGAGGCCTGCGCAAATTCCTCGCTGCCAGTTGCAGAAAAGTCAAAGAGACACTGCTCCGAATCGCCACACATGGCAACAATGGGCTCCGGAAGCAGTTCAGGGTTCGGCGTTGTCAGCTCTGGGATATATTTCAAATCATTGATTCGCTCATAGCAGGTATCTCTGTAGTGGAATAAGGATTCCTCTTTCGAAACTCGCCAAGTTTCGCCAAAGTTGTAGTGGATATCTTTCAAAGAGGCCTTTGATGGGTCCAGTGGTTTGCTCTGACCCCTGGGAAGGAAATCGTTTTTCCTTTTCCCATCGCAGTTGCCCATGAGACCTTTAAACTTTCCCGCGAATTGTTTACACGTGATGGTGTGGAACATGTTGACCATTCCGTGATTCATCTCTAAATGTAGCGAGACGATTCCTTCAGGCAGGCTTAACGAGTAACTCACGGAGTCGCTTGATCGGGTTCTTCCTACGATGATCGAGTGCAACTGGATTTCATCCAATGCTTCTGGGAATCTGAATCTTTTTCCGTTGATCCATGTTTCGAGTTTTCTTCTCGTGTGACCCAGAATCACTTCAATGACCTCACCCTGCGGGTTGCAACGACCGGCAATCCCAGTCACGATTGTCCCCTCGCTGGTTGCTTGCCTCGGAGTTTCTCCCTCTCTCACGAACTTCTCGAGTCTGACTTGAATTTCACAGTCCCCAAATTTCATTAAGACGTATTCTCCGTGTCCATTGAATGTATATTGGAGCCCGTCGGCAGTGATGAAGTGTGGGTCCCCAGTATTCCCTGCGTGCTCTTCTGGCTCGTACCCTTCTCCGCAGTTGGGCGGACGGAGAGCCAGATAAGCTCCGCAGTTCTCTTCGCTTCCGATTGCGCAGCACTCAAAATATTGAACAACCTCGAATTCATCGTGCAATTGAGGGAACAAGTCTGGTTGAAAGAGTACTGGGCGAGTTGTTGTATAGGAAGTATTATCTGGTTTGCACTGGATTGTACCGCTGTTGTCATAGCAGCAAACCTGCGCGGCAAATTTATTCTTCAAAGGCTGTTTTTGCAGAAAACAATACTTGCCCAAGTCGTGCCCCTCGGTGAGGTATTCCCTGAAACGATTGTCCTCTTTGGCCAAGTCCAGTGTCGGCGGACAAACAAGTATGTCGACCCCTGCCTCGAGAGGTTTAGCGCCTTTTCCACACTTACCACCAAAAACTCCGGCAAAAGATTCAGGATGCTCGTTCCTCATAAAATTCCCACCATGGTTACTCATGATATCCGTTCGATTGTTAATTTTGCCGAGTAAAACGGTCTCGTCGTGTTGCGGAATGCAGGAGTCTCCTTCAGGCTTCAGAATGGCATGCAAGGACAAACTCCTTGGCAGCAGAATATTTTCCAACGGAATTATAACGGAGCCATTATTCACGAGATTTGATGCTGTGTCCACCTTTTCCATTTGCTGCCAAGCCTTGATTTTGTGATCCCACCGGGCATTGCATAAAAGCAAATTGTTGGAATTGGGGAAAGCCGTCGGGTCCCATGTGACATAGAAGTCATGCTGAGTTTCTATGTAGTCCAAGTAGAAGGAGTTTTTATCGTTCCGGGGCTCGTTGATCACCTGCAAAGGCCCGCTGTGACTTTCTCCGTCTTTGATCACGATTTCAATTGTGATCCTGGTTGACTCATACAAGGTTGGTACGAAGCAGAAGGCAAGGTTTTTGTCTTGCACGTAGGCCTGGACTGTCATGGAGCTGAGTTTGTCGTCGTGGTACCCATCGTGGAAAACGCAATTCACGGGGCCATCGACTGGAAAGCAGGGACCTCTAACCTTGATTTCTTGGTACCCCATAACCGCCACTGTTGATGGCTTTGTGAGTACATCATCCCCGGGTTTGAAGTCTTCGCATTCCATTTCCTCGAACAACTTGTGATTGTCTAGTCGGAGCACGTGGGTTCCCGGTCGACCATTGTTCGATGTCCGTGTCAGATTTTTCACGTCGGCCGTGCAAGATCCGTTGAGTTGGTGGGAAATATTCAAATAGGGGTTTTTGTAGCCCGCGAATGCATCGTTGTTGCCCCCCATGGGTGTACTGGTCCAGTCAATGACGGAATAGTAGAAAATAGCGAATGAGTACAAGCCGTCGGAAGCCAGGGCCAGTTGGTAAGTATTGTACAGCTTGGGTTCGTCGCCGGGCCTGAATCTCTCCAGACCCTCCCAGGTGATTACGAAAAGCCAGTTGATGTCGATTTCTTCGAAATTTGGGTAGGCTAAGAGGATGTCTTCAGCTGCTTGTTTGAAAATTTCTGGCTCATCCACGATTTCGCTGTACGACACGCCCTTTTTATGCGTCGAAGTTGCATCCACCCAAAAGGGAGCTATGATCGGAGGCATGTCTTCCTTCTCATCACAAGTGTCAAAATATTCTAGGAAAAGTTGGTCGAATACTATGTACCCGTTTGGACTTATGGTGAGGTTCGTATGTGTGGTGTCGAAAAAGTGGAATGGAATTTGAAGATATATCGGAGAAGACAAGCAGTCGTCGCATACGGGGCCTTCGGTCGTCCCTTTGCCTGGAGGAAGCATCCCATTTGTGGCCCGAGTCAGCCACAATGCGGAAAAGGTCAGGAGAAAAATTTCGTTCTTCATTCCACTGAAATTTCGCCGGAAAATGTCAGTTCCTAGGATTCATCTGAAATGATTGCAATATGATTTATATGACACAATGCGGTATGTATACACCAGTGTTCCCCAGCACGTGGTCTGCAGAACAGCACTGATGGTCCACACAGAAGTTTTTTGCTGGTTGCAGGGAATTTTCTTCAGTACATAATAAATTTATCAGAAGTACAATAGCAATGAATAATGTAATGTTCATCAGAAATTTTGGAAATACAGTGGCAGTTGAAATTATCTGTTGAAAAATAAGAGTTGGCTTTTCTTCCAATAACACACCAGTCAAATTTTCATCTGCTGAAATAAATTATTTCAATTTTTAATTCTTGGAAAAATTTCCACCTTTCTAATTTTTTGATGCCATTCCATCATATTTGCTTCATTTGTTCTTGACTTGATTTTTGCAACAACAAAAAAGCAGAAACTTTTTAAATACCTGCAGTAAACTTTTTCATACCAAACTTGTTTGAGTGAAAATTTTTCATGAATCTTCCACAATCTGCAGAAAAATGTTTGGAAATTTTCAAGTCCAAAACAAGTTTTATGGAAATCTGCCAGTCTGCAGGCCCGAAAAGGTTGTGGAACACTGGTATATATACAATACGTACACCCTGCGTAAAAATTTTTCAGAAGAAAATTCTTTTAAAATCGGTAAAGCAATTAAAACTCTGCACTTGGAAATAATGCAGGTGCCAGTGTCTATAAAACCTGAATTGTGCACACCATGGCATTCGTACAGCGTACTGTAATTTTAATGAACTTGAGTGTTTGGCGCTGGTTTTATACCGAATTTTGTGACTAGCACGTGGTTTTTTCGTGGCTCTGTAATTTTTGCACGTCCCATGTATTTACGAAGCACTTATGATGATCGCGCAATCACGTGTTACATTGTGTGGCATATTGATGACATGCGAATCCGACCTCCGTCATTCGCACATGCGTGGACGTTGGAAATTGCTCATGGCATGTTGGTTTTCTTTGGTTGTCTGCATAGCTGAATGATCGGCTTTGCTATGATCATACTTATCCCTCGATTTTTTTTTTCAATTGGACCTCATTAGGTTGACCTCAGCGGGACTTAAAATTAATTTTATGTACAGAGTCTTCAACGGAGTTACGGAGAAACAGATTTTTTGCCGAAAAATTTTGCAAAACTTTCGGGATGAAGGAAACATTTTTGACCTTGGCCTCAAAGCTGATCGAGGTAGTAGGATGCTGGACCTCACAGCAGTTATGTGGGGGTGCAATATTTGCTGAATTGGTTGCTCAGGAATTCAGGAATTTTTTGCCGTTGCGATTCAGTTTTTCCGACACAAAAGCCTCTGGAAATTTCATGGGGAAACTTTTTGAGCTTTGGAAGTTTGGAGGTTTAGAATTCTGAATCTCGCTGTTCTTGGGAAGTTTAAGCAAAGACTAACCTTAAATTCCATATCAAGAGACTTAATACTTCCAGGAGTATCTTGTCATTCCAAGTCCAACTGCTATAGTTGATGGATAGTTTTCTTCTCCACATTGCTTGCAATTACAGTGAGACCCCCACATGTGGACACCTCAACATGCAGACAATTCAACGTAGGGACATTTATTTTTCAATAAAAAATGCCTGACGTATGGACACTGACTCAAAATGTGGAATTTGCATGATAAAATTGCCAATAAATTTCAGGAAAATTTACTTTTTTAGGCTTAATACCAAGAAACAGATGTTTCCAACCCTAAGATCAATGCAAGAAAAAAATTTTGGTATACTTTTCCAATCATTTTTCCATCCATTCAGCTAATTAACAAAAAATTACCTATAGAATATATAGGGACTTCCTTCTCTCTTTTTGACTTGAATTTTATTTTTACAGATGCCAACATTTCAATGTACTGTATATAGGCGCACTATTCAATGCTCCTAATGTTCTTATTGAGTTGAAAATATATTCACTGAATGAAATTTGAAAACAAAAATTTTAAACGGGGTTCTGAAGAATATTTCGTCCAAAAAACACCAATTATGAAGTATAAAATGTATAAGTCTATGGGGAAACAAGTCTTTGCTTAGGGACACTCTTGATGCACCAATTATGTCTGCATCTGGGGGTCTCACTGGACTTTTGATTATTGGATGTCAGAATTCTGATGAAATTGTGAGCGAGGCAACATAAACCAGGTACATACAATATTTGACTTCTTTCTTTTTTATTGTTTTTTATTGGATTGTTGGCGTTTCATTTTAAATATATTTCAGGAGGTAAACTTTGGAAAAAGGGTAGCTCTCAAGAAAAAAAAAACAAATTTATTTGCAGAACAGATTGGTAGTTGTATTTTTCAACTTCAGCAACAATTTGCTGGGATGAATTCTTGTATTTTATTGAACAGCAATTGACAATATCGCATTGTGTCACTTGTGAGACTGAAATCATGTGTCCAAGAAAATGTCTACAGTCTTGCAGAAAAACCAAAGGTACCCAGACTGTTAAAAATAACACATGAAAATACAAATAAATATCGGAAAATTCGTTCGGAAACAGGTCGCAATTTTATTTCTTGGTTTCATGAACTGGTCTATATCACCCAATAGCCATCTATATTCTTGAAACTCCAACAAATCAGCAGCTACATGTGCAGCAACAATGTGCTGAATATTTTGTGAATCAGTGGCTTGAATAGTATACTGTACGTTACAACCACACTGTGTGATACTACAGTATATAGCATTACAGCTGCATGAGAAAAGCAATAAAAGGTAGCCCTCTTGCAAGAAACACTTATAAATATCCAGTATTTTGTGTATTTAGCGGGGGTTAATTGAAGTTTGTCAAGGTGAAAAGGAATAGGGATGCTCCAAAAACGTTTCGCCTTTCTGTCGTATTAAAGTTCATAAACAGTTGATTACAGTCTTGTTAAAACAAAGCCATTGCCGAGGCCAGTAAAAAAGCTTTGCTTTAATGAAAAATTCCGTGTAAGGTAACGCATTAATATTGTAAATATTGGGCAGGGACCTAACAAACTACTTCATTTTAAGCGATTATTCGTTGTAACGAGATTCTATCGTACATATACTCGTATATTTCTACAAGCCTGTATTTCCCTTCGGAGCCCTGTGATAAAAAGTGGGTTGAAAAATATTATTCCTACTTCCTGTATTTGCAATGGCGAAGTACGATGCTGAAAAAAGTGAACTACAGTAATCAAATAATGCATGTCTGCATATGGTACTTTTTCTCAGTTTTTTATATCCTTATGTAATGGAGTACGATGAAGGACGAATTTCTTTCAAATCCCCTCCATATCGTATGTGATCCAATTATCCCCGCATCAATTTTCGCACTCAATCCCGAAGATGGCCAATCAATTGCGCGCATCCGCTTATGACGCACTTCACAGGAGTCACACTTGTCATAAAAACTGGCAATAGATTATTTAACTTGTTTTATACTCCAGTTTCATGATGCTATGGGAATATTTTACACTGAATTTCGAAATCTTCCACCGCGGCATCCAGCAGCGCCACAAATAAGTTTTCAGTAATTGTTCAGGAAGACTTGAAGCTTGGTCGACCGATTTAAAAGTGTTGCATTGTGGATCTTTTTTTTTAATTTCCGAAATTTAAAGTAGTTTTGCTTTAAAAAAAAAATCGATCCCAGCAAATGAGGATGCCGGCCACTTCTTCGCCCCTTTTCCGGCTGATTTTGCTAATCCTCTTCGTCGCACAATTCGAAAAATACGTGAATGGATACTCATATTCAAAAGATTACTTTTCCGGAGAGGGGCTGGTGAGATTTTTTTTCAGATGAAGTTTCTCAGAGTTCGATTCGAAACGTGATGAAGAATTTATGTATATATTGTCAGTATTAATGTGTTTTTTTTAAGACGTTTGGGAAGCAACTAGTCGCCTTCGCTGTGTCAGGGCTGAAAGGAACTCCGGATAATCCCTTCGCTTATATGAAAAAAGATCGTAAGGAATAATGCTTTTAATGCACACGAGTACACGACCCAAATATTCTTAAAACAAAAGAATTACTTCGTTTTCGTAGATCATTCTTTGAAATACGCGCAAGAGGACTTGAACATCGGAGCTGGCTTTGACATGAACACTGGGATATTCACTGCCCCCGTGGACGGAATCTACTATTTTTCATGGTACGGGTGCGACAAGGAGTACAGTTCAGATTTCCATTACATGGTTTGGATAAAGCATGAAGGGCATCCCGATGCTCAGATGCAAGGTATCAATATGCCTTTCCTCCACGGAGATACTGGGTCCATTGCGACCATTTCTACCAAGGGTTACGTGTACATGAAGAAGGGTGACGTAGTTTCCACTGAAATATACGGCTCTCTGTTCTACAGTGTCGAAAATCCGGGGGGTTTCAAGGATTTTCCCGAATATGTGGGATTCTCGGGTTATTTAGTGGGTTCAGTTGAGTAGAATAAGGGTGACCATGTCATAATTGATGATGATGCCATTTTGAGTATCCGGTGAATTGAAATGAACCTGAAGTCATTCTGTCGAAATCAACGCGTATTTATTTTTTTGACGAATCGTTATTTGCAGATTTCCGGTGCAAAAATTGCAGCATCCGGCGAACAATGTTACAAAACGATTCCCAACCAATAAAGATTGATGCTGCAACGTATTTGTTGGGCAAAGTGTATCCAATAACATAATTTGGTACTGAAAATAAACTGCTGGTCTTGACTATATACATAACCTAACATGAGTAGCATCCATGTTATTGGCTGTTAAATGTTGTGTAGTTTACTGATATTTCCATGCGTCTTTGTCTTTGGACATATCCATAATGTATGGTGAACATAAAACCACAGAAAACATACATCATCTATGGATTTTCCCTGCATTCCGAATTCTTATTGTAGCTTGAAAAAGCGTTGTATGCATTCTTATTCCGTAGCATTGATATTCTTGCCGAGTGAAAAACGAATCCTAAAAATTTGCAAGGGAGTAATGAGCAGCACACACTGGCAAGCATTTCAGAATTTTTTTAAAGGTAAATTTCGGCAGCTAGAGAAAACATGTGTAATTTTTAGCGAATGGTTCATAACATTTCATTCATGAAAATTATTCACAAAAGTACTCCTGTAATCCAAGTTTTGCATAATAAGCTTTGTAAACGGTTTGTATACTGTATATGTGGCTTGCAAGACAATTGTTATTGTACTTCTGACGTTTTGGAGCTACCTGTACCCCTTGAAAATTAGGTAATAATATTTGCTGGATAGTTTGACGTTTTTCCCAAGAATTATCTTGCAGAACCATTATCTTCTGATGAAGCAGGTTCATCAGAAAGTTATACAGTATTGTTGCAGGAACCTGCAACTTCCTGCCGGTGGGATTCCTTATTCTTTTTTATGTCTGATTGTCGAATTTGTTGCTGCTCGTATTTTTTGGGAAGCAAACAAATCTCATCGTAGGGACTGATCTTTGTGCATTCTGTTTTTGAAAATCGATGCGATTTAAAATGTTTCTCAATTGTGTAATAGTGGAATACTAAGCTTGTTGTTGCTGAGGTATGATTCATCGAAGATCATGTTGCCTTCGATGCTCGCTATGCAGTATTTTCTGTCCCAAATTTATATTTTACCAAAATTGGATGCAACCTAATGATCTGAATAAAATATTCAACATTAGGTATAAACTGTACATCATTGACCAAAATTGTTGGTTTCATTATTTTTGAAGGATTAAAAACGCCCGCGCTTTACGACTTGAGTGGAAGTTTGATGAGTTTTGCACAATTATTAGGCATCGGTGGATAAAAATACAAACTTATACTCCACGCGTTCAACTCCTCTGGTGCAAATTTTGTTTAATGGCCGGTGCCAAAAAGTGAGTCTGAAACGTCATGGACGTACTTCCAAGATAAATATCGCACATACTATTCTCTTTTCACGATGCATCGAGAAAGTTTGGCCAAATTAAATGCGGTAATAATATGCTGTACTGTATTTTCATGCACGATTTCGCATGAGGGAAAAACGTATTACGGGTCCTCATCTATAAATGCTATATGTACGAGTATCAATGAGCATTGCATGCTGCTTATTGATTCCCATATGCAGCCCGCTGAGAACATTCTTGCTGTACTGTATATATAATGATGCATATTATCTCATGGATTTCGAATCGCTTGTGTGAATGATGCATGTATGAACTTCTGCTCATTTTTCAAGTGAGAAGTTTATTTCAAGTCTTGAAAATCACCCAAAAAACGTCATTAAGGTTGAATGAAAGATAACTACCCTGTTCACAACTTTTACATACAATAAATGCATCTCATTCCGCACAGAACATGGAAAACAGCGCTGATTAAAATTCACATCGTTTATTTTATCCACTGCATATTGTTTGCCCAGAAGAAAATCGCGGAAGTACACAGGAAGAGTAAAACTGATGTATACTGTACATCCTGATTTAGGGAGATAATTTTTGAATATAACTTTATTGAAAGTTTAAAGCAAATTTTCCACGCAAAGAAATATAATTTAAATTGAGCCGCATACGAGTACAGTATATGGCCAGCAATCCGAGATGTATGAAATGAAAGAAAAAATACAATAATGTACATGTACTTTACAGTATAACGCTTGCATGCAATGAGCCAGCATCTCCCCGACATGATTCTGTATCAATTCACTGTGACAAAAAGCTAATCATTCGAATTGATTGAGCAATTTTTAGACCACACGAACGTTGATCGCACTGGATCTGAATGTCTCGACGTTTTGTATACAATATTATTTCTGCTGCTGCAGCAAATCGCATAATGTACAGTACTGTACTAGGTGAACGCTGCTGCTGGGACAATTGAACGGCGCGGACAGAAAATGCGGTTCACTAGTCCATGGAACCGTATTCAAGAGGGCGAACATTTTAGTTTCCGCTTTGTTCGAGAACGTTCGGTTGTGTGGTGGCGATCGCAGGAAAGGGATAGACTCGCCGATCAGCAGTGCAGAATAAATACATCAGTGATATCGAACTAAGAACATGCGTACGACTAGAATTCGTTGCGAGTGATCTTTGAACGCTAGTGACCGGATGGTGACGAAGGAGTCATGGCGTCAAGGTTTTACTGTGTGCGGGCAGATGTTACGTAACAGTGTTACCGGTGCTACTTCAGTTCAGGGTTTTTAAAGATTTGGGCTCTATTTCAGGAGATCCCGCGGAAATTTCACGCGCCTTCAGTGCATTTTTGAACTATTCTAAAGTACTGCACAGTGCGAAATGTTGGGTGCAGCTCGTTCAGTTGGTCGGAGGCTGCCCTCCTGCAGAAATGCTTCAGCTAAAAAAGTTTCCCGCTCCTTGGCTGCCAGGAAGGCTGACGAAGGGGTATGCGTTATCTTTTTCATTGACGTTTCCACAGTAGTGACTACATGATCGTATTTATCTTTCAGGTTCTTTCCGCCCTTCCGAATTGTCAATCATGCGATCAACAACGGGGGAAGTCGGATATTCCGAAAGGAGCTGTAATAGGAATCGATCTCGGTACCACTAATTCTTGCGTAGCCGTCATGGAAGGTAAGACTGCCCGCGTCATTGAGAACGCGGAAGGATCCCGAACAACACCATCGGTTGTGGCATTCACTGGGGACGGAGAACGTCTGGTGGGAATGCCAGCTCGTCGTCAAGCCGTTACGAATGCCGCAAACACCCTTTCTGCGACCAAGCGATTGATAGGACGACGTTTTGATGACTCTGAAGTCAAGAAAGACATGTGAGTTCATGCTTGAAGTTTCATCGGTCGCATTTTCACCGTGTACGATGATTCCGGCATTGATGCGCTTCTATTTACTGCATTAGTTTTATCGACACTCGCGACGCGGTACATGGATTATCCGATTCCGCGAACTGATATTTTCTCTCGATTAGGTCCATGTGTGCTTACAAAATCGTTCGGGCATCGAATGGAGATGCGTGGCTGGAGGCTCAAGGTAAAATGTATTCTCCGTCTCAAGTCGGAGCATTCGTCCTAATGAAAATGAAAGAGACGGCCGAAAGCTACTTGGGGACTTCAGTCAAGAATGCAGTTGTGACGGTTCCGGCGTACTTCAACGATTCGCAACGCCAAGCCACCAAGGATGCTGGTCAAATATCTGGATTGAATGTTCTCCGAGTCATCAACGAACCGACGGCAGCTGCTCTTGCCTATGGCATGGATAAGAGCGAAGACAAAGTGTAAGTAATATTTTACGATTCAACGTATCACATAATCGTGGAATGCAGTGAATGAGCGAATTCTGGAATTTTCCATTCATCAGTGTTGCCGTGTACGATTTGGGTGGAGGTACTTTCGACATCAGTATCCTGGAAATTCAGAAAGGTGTTTTCGAAGTCAAGTCGACCAATGGAGATACTTTCCTCGGAGGTGAAGATTTCGACAATGCCCTTGTTGAATTCCTGGTTGGGGAGTTCAAGCGTGACGTGAGTCTTTTTTTCCTTCGCGGATACTTGAATCTAATGTTACCATGCGTCATGGGTAACTTGGATTTTACTCGGGTTCACAGCAAGGCATTGACCTCAAGAAAGATGCGATGGCCCTTCAGCGCGTGAAAGAAGCAGCAGAGAAAGCTAAAATGGAGCTTTCTTCTTCCATGATGACTGATATAAACCTTCCTTACTTGACCATGGATTCCTCTGGACCGAAGCACATGAACTTGAAACTATCGCGTTCCAAGATGGAGAGTCTTGTCGAATCGCTCATCAAACGCACTGTTGAGCCGTGTAAAAAGGCCTTAAAGGATGCCGAAACGCAAAAGTCTGATATTGGGGATGTCATTTTGGTTGGTGGTATGACGAGGATGCCGAAGGTCCAAGCGACGGTTCAGGAAATTTTTGGTCGAGCACCCGGTAAGCACTCATTCCAAGCAACGTTTTCATGTAGAAGTAAATTGCGACCTCATTGTGATCATGATACAAATTTTCGTCTATTCCTCGATTATTGCGAAAAACATACCGTTTTTATTTCGCGAGAGTAGCTAATTTTGTTTTTAAAATTTCACAGTTCGTAGAAATACTGCAGAATTCCGCTATGCGTTAAGGACTTATACAATTTTGCCATTGATGAAGAAGTAGTTCTGGTGCAATTTTTGTGATAACTATTTTTGATTGCTGACTTAACGCCATCGTTCACACAGGGAAAAGCGTGAATCCTGATGAAGCCGTCGCCATTGGCGCCGCAATCCAAGGTGGAGTTTTAGCCGGCGATGTTACAGACGTCCTCTTACTCGACGTCACTCCGTTGTCCTTGGGTATCGAGACGCTGGGTGGGGTCTTCACGAAGTTGATCACACGAAACACGACGATTCCAACGAAAAAGTCGCAGGTGTTCTCTACTGCTGCCGACGGACAGACACAGGTGGAGATCAAAGTCATGCAGGGCGAACGTGAAATGGCTACCGACAACAAGTTGTTGGGACAGTTCTCGCTGGTCGGTATTCCACCGGCGCCGAGAGGTGTGCCGCAGATTGAGGTCACGTTTGACATCGACGCGAACGGCATTGTGCACGTTTCTGCCCGTGACAAGGGCACTGGCAAAGAGCAGCAAAGTATGCTTCGTTCGAAGTTTAAGTAAATACCGTATTTGGGCAAATTTGAGACGCAGTGTTTTCTCATAGACTCTCAATTAAATGGGAGTTACTTTCTTAGCTTTTATCAGAATTAGCATGCAGAATGAGTTCTTCGTGCTAAAATATGTTTTGAATAGATTTTCCATTTTATCATTGATCAATAGCAAGTACTGTACTGGTGCATGGAGTAGAATATCTTGTATAGTATATTGTAATTGAGCGTCTTGGATACGCTTGGAAAGTTTTTTCACTCGTATTTTCGAGTAAAAGCAATTAAGTATAATTTCCGAACGAACATCATGATTATTTCGATGCTTTTTTTTATATTGCAGTCGTGATCAGAAGCAGCGGAGGTTTAAGCAAAGACGAAATCGAGAACATGGTCCGAAATGCCGAAGCTCACGCTGAGGAAGATAAGAGAAAGAAGGAAGTGATTGAGGCGGTGAACTCTGCCGAAGGCATCGTTCACGATACCGAATCAAAGATGGAAGAATTCAAGGCACAGTTGCCGACCGATGAGGTGAGTCTTCGTCTTCTCGAATTATTCATACACTGGTTGATTTCATTTGTATTCGTGCTGTACAATCTCATTTCTTACACGTCAGGTGGACAAGTTGAAGGGTCAGATCGCAACTCTCAGAGAATTGCTCAGTCAGAAAGATACTATCAGTTCTGAGGAGATCCGCAAGGGAACGAATGAGCTGCAGCAAGCGTCGCTAAAATTATTCGAAATGGCCTATAAGAAGGTGAGTCTATATGTGTTCGATCTTTCGTTGGAACCACTGGTCCCCGATTTCCGCGATAAGCAACGATGAATGTTTCTTCTTTCTTGTCATTTACATGATTTTGTATGAAAAATAGAAAACCTTCGATTTTGCATGAATTGTCTCGTTTTCACATTAATAATTTGTATGCATAATTTCAGATGGCATCGGAGAGAGAAGGAAGTGGAGGAAGCTCCGGAAGCTCGGATAGTCACAGCGACAATACTGAGGAGAAGAAAAGCTCCGATGCCGGGAAAAACTGATGTTTTTTCGCAAGAGGAAAAGTGAAAAGAAATTTCTTTAGCTGTCTTTCTTCTTCATAAACAAGGAGGGAAGCAAACGGCGATTGAACAATTGAAGATCCGGCATTAAATGGGTTTCCTGAATTTAATTCCGCTCTCCGGTTTCCCGCGTAGGAGCGCGAGTGATTTTGTTAGTCGTAGCGAAAGAAAAAGGTGCGGTCTTGCGGTTGCCTCATCTCGCTTTCCTGAAATGAGGGTTTCATTCTGCATCCTTGGGAAGCGAGGTGAGGTAGACTGGACGATGCAGCGTTGGTGGAGCAGTTTTCTCAAGTCTCCGTTTGTGCTTGCGCTGATCCGTGTTTTTGTTTGTTCGGAAAGGCGGCGCTGGCCTCGTTTTTGCACGCTCGTTTCGTGCGGTTGCTTTCGCGGAAGGTTCGGGAAATAAACGGGATGGAAGCCTTTCACTTTGATTGTCTTGGTTATCCTCGTACATATGTGATTCTCATCAGGAAATTTAAATTTTCAGGAGATGTATTCTGCTTGAGAAGCCTCGTATGCTTTTCACAGTAGGAAAATTTGAGACCTTAAGCTTGTGAATGCCTGTAATGTCAAGATCGCCGCATCCTTGGACGGTATACGCGTATGCCATCACTAATTGCGGGAGAAATGTGAAAATTTCTTCAGCAAATTTACAGTGTTGACACGTGTTGTATTCCTATTTTCTACTTCAAATTTTTGTGAACCCAGCATTTAATTATTTCGAGGACGTACACTCAAAGCTGAGCTTAATATTTTTACTGAATGGAGATATTCTATTCCTGATTGAAAAGTTGGCCACCAGTACGTACCGTGACGGAGCTTAAGATGTGACAATGTATTTTTTGTGTTTTCACCGATTAGTTTTTACCAATTTGTGCATTAATTTGTACTAAGTTCAGTAAATTTGCTGAACGCTGGGAACTTGATATCGAATTGCGGACGTTCAAACCTCCCATTCCCGTAGGGCGCATGGTTCGCTATAGTTGGATGGCATGAGTGCTGATTTATGGACATCGATCCACGAATAAGATCCGTTCCAGCTCCAGATGATAATCTAACGGCCCGCAAAACGCTTAGGTGCGAGAATCTTGCGGGATACGAAAATCCCTTAATTTGAATCCATGCGCCTGAAAATTATCTTGTGGAAACTGCAAAAGTGAGGGTTCGTACACAACCATTACTGCCAATGTAAAAATAAATTCCTTGTTTAAGTATTGCAGCTCGAAGTTCTGGAGGCATTAGTGTATCATGTAGATCATTACGTGGATTGCATAATAATTTAATCTTTGATCAACTGATCATCTTTTCAAGCCCTCATGGATTATTTTTGAATTTACACCCCTAAAACTTTACGTGGCTCTCAAATTCAATGCAATAAAAATTTATTTGGACTTTGAGCTATTTAAATATGTACCTGTTTCTCACTTCTAGAGGCAAAAAGTTGATCTGTGAAATCTCTAGAAAAGTACACAAATTACATATTTAAACCAAAAAGCAGGGATTAAAACTCCCAATGGAGGCTAGGTGTTTCTCAGGCTTCCTCTTGACCTTCTATCTTGAGAAAGGTTCAAAGGTAATCCTAATCTTTTCAAGCATGTGGAGGGAAAACCCCAAAGACACTCTTTCACAATTATGTAATTCATTGTTTTTTGTTCCCACTATGGGATTTTCTCTCACCAGAGTTTTTCCTGCACCCTTCATTTTAAAGACGCAATGATTGGAAGGACATCATCCGTATACTGTACAACAGTATACTTGTTCAGTGTTGGGTTTTTCACTGTAGAGCTCATGACAGAACTATATTAAATCATCCTTAAATATTTCTAATGAAGAAGTTATTCAAGTTGTATTGAAGGGAAAATTTAGAAGCATCCAATTTTCTTTGCAATACTGCACCGCGTAGAACAAGAACGTGTTGTCGTTGTGAACATAATCTTCATGGCTTGCTTACCCCGTCCCCCAATTGAAAAATCCGGAGTTGTTCTTTGCCATCCTCGCAAGAAAAATGCGCGAACGCTTGAATTTTGGATTTGTTCACGTGAATTCCTCTTTGTATTCATCTGACCAGTGTCGGCCGCGAATGGATGGGTCGTGAAGTTTTCGGTAATTGTAGACGGCCGTGAAATCAAGATCAGCCGTGTGATTATGGAAAAACGAATGGAAATCTCGGAGTGCCTTTCTGGACTTACATCTACGAGGGTTACGGAACGCAAGGTGGGATTTTCGTCTAATTATCTCAATCTGTGTATGTAGACTTGACATTCTGTATGCAATTTATTTTAGAAATGTTCTGAAACCCTCGAAAATCTTCTTTCCGATGAGGATGTGCTTCAAAAACTCGACAAGTGTGCAGAAAGATCCGGCGTTACATGGAGCCTCGTTTTTGCCAAAGTTCTTCAGTTCGTCGACTTGGTATGTACATGAGCCATGGTTATGTAGATTTCGAATTCTGTTAATGGAGATTGCCATTGCAGGAGCTTCAAAAAATTTCGAAAGACCAAGAGAAGCAAATTAATCTCGGTCAGCATGATCTCAAACGACAACAAAGTTTTTCGATGGTGTCTATGGTCATTCAAAAAGCCAACCGAAGTATGAAATGGAATTTTGCTCGTACTATAATGTCGAATATAATTTTTTCCCCTTTTAGATAAGATACAGTTAGAAGTTGATGAGGTGAAACCTTTTTTCATCTACCGACTTAAGGAATGGAAAAATCTGGAAGCAGAAATCTTGGGGATGTTGCCCAGGAGTTTCTTTTCTGTGCCCCAGTACTACGTGCAACTGGACGTTGACGATTGGAAAGGTTTTTAAATTTACGATTTTTGCACCAGTCGTGAGAATACCTGCACTATGTTGAATATGTTCCAGCCATTTTATTGACCCTTCTCCAAATTTTCAAACGCTCTACGCCTGGCAGCAAATCAAGGTCACTTGATGCTTCAGCATTGGAATCCGCAGTAATTTCATCCTCTCAATCAGCAAATGCCGTTGTTGAGTACGAGCCTTTGTTCGAATTTTTCCGAATTGCCTTTGAACGACATGAAGAGCTTCGTGATTCCCCCGCTCTGGCGAACTCGCTGTTATCATCGTTGGTTTCTTTCACATTTTCGGTGAGAACTTGGTTATATATTGTATCTTTTTATCGCTATATTTTAACTATCGTCTTCTTCAAAATATTTTGTAAGTAGGATTTGTTGAATCGAATTTCGTACGTTATTTTCATTCAAGTACGTATTTGTTCGGTCAGAACATGACGAACGTTTGTGGCTCGTGCAAACCTAAGACATCAGAGTAGAAGACGCAACTTGCTCGTTGCATCACGTCTGGTGAAAAAATGAGTCTTCATAAAATTTCTGATGAATAGAGGGAATGTTTTTCTCACAGATGTCCGAGATGAAGCCAGTTCAAGTAATGGAATTGGGAAGGCGCATTTCATCAGTTGTTCTCTTTTGCGGAAAATTACGCAAGTGCAGGGTATGTGAAATTGTGCGTTCGTAATGTATTATTCTTTTCGAAGAATTATCCTTTGTTGGCAGGACCTCGTTGTGAAATATTTTAGAACTCTAATCGCTGTACGAACAGCACTGAAAACTTGCCATGTCGACGAAGTGTATCCACAACAGGAATGGACGAAGAATCTTGAAGTGGTGAAGAGGTTCTTGGCCGAGAATTTCAAATCATCCTTTTCATCGATTCGAGGAATCTCTGGTTGCATTCTTGACGCCTTGGAGATTTGGAATTTGGATTGTTTCTTGTTGTATTCCGACTTGCTCGCAATGGTGCGTTTTGATTAGAATTTCGATGATTTTCCGGACTGTAAGTAATCTGTGCTTTTGAATTGGTGCAGTTTGCCGCAGATTTGAAAAAGAACAAGTCTCACGATTCAAATGAAGATGAACTACCATCTAGGAAGAGACTCAAACGAGAAGAGTCTAATCCTCTGCGGGAATTGATAGACTTTCTTTATGACGATTCTCTGCCAGCCGAAAGAAGCGTGCTTGTGTGAGTATCGAAAATGCCAGTTTACTGACGTGAAGGAGCTTTTGATGAACAGTGGGCTGTATATTTTTTTCAGGTGCCCTATGATCGAGTGTCTTCTGCAGCGACATGCTGCAGTTTTTGCCAATGACGATCTTTTGGCCGTTGGAAGAACATTGTGTGATAATGTGCTGCAACATTGTGAAATGCTGCCTGATACTGCCAAGGGTCCTTGCGTGAAACTGATGGGTTCTGTGATCAAGGTTGCTTGCGACATTCGTGATCTGGTTCCGTCCACGTTCAGCGAACATTCCTGGAAGGAATTCAGGGAGAAGTGCTCGTTGCTTTCCGACGTTGTGTTGAAGTAAATGTTCATTGTACAGTTTGTGTTCCCTCTCGTTGAACGACATTCTAAATTTCTAATCTCTCATTTTTTTTTTCAGAACTGTCCTGTGCTCTAGTATTTCTTCTGAAGGGCATAATCTCACTCGAGTTCTGGCGATGCATCATTTGATTCCTTCGAAGCCATCACCATTACAGGTTTTTTTTTTTTTTTTTCAACGATGAAAGTTTGTCTTCACTTTTTTTCCTTTACCTCTTTTGTTAGGCATTCGTCGACGTTGGTTTGCAACCTTCGAGAGAATCAGTTCGCACATTGCAATGTCTTCTGAAGGAATTTAACATGCCTTCGAATGTGACAACGACCCAAGATTGTTGTATTATGCCGATGAATCGTTGCCCACCGGCGAAGAGTTTCTTTATTAACTGGATTTTACAACCTGCGAATGGCGCAAAAGTTTGGTTTGCTGAAAATCCTATTTTATTGGGAACCGTATGCGCTGGTTTGGTCCTTCAAGATTCCAAAAAGATCAAGTTGTCTACGTGAGTATCTCACCCGTTCCTTTTTTGAGATGACGTCATTTGATCATTAAATCGTCGAAAATTATTTTTTTTTTAAACTAAATGAACAACTTGTGTTAAGGGTTTTGGAGCTCCAAAATAAAAATGTTTCTGAGCAAATTTTGCAGCATTGGTGCCTTTGAGCACGAACTTCGCTGACAAACTTTGAACACTCCGTATACCTATTAAAACGGCGTTATTGTTGTTGGCGTAACGTGTAACAAAAAGCAGCGAAGTTTTTTTTAGAAATATGCGCAGTATTCTTTTGAGGAGAACAGAAGTTGTGTTTCGGGCAGTTGCTGAAAGATGTTTTGTTTGCCCTGAAAGAAGACCCTTCTTGCGAATTTGGGAAATCCTTCAAGAATTCCTCTAAAATTGCAGGCAAATGAGGTTTAGTTTAGATTTGGTTTTAAAACTTAGTTATTGAGAAATTCGATTGTTTTGTTGATGTTAAGAAAATGATTGAATTGCAGAAATAATGATACTTTACTGTATACAACTTAGGTCTCAAAATACTTTCAATTATGCCCGATTTTTCCCGAGCGAG